TTGGGGTTATGTCCGGAAGAATTTTGGACGAGAGACCAAAATAGAAATAATTATTTATTTCTCAAAGACTCGAGACTAACTAGAATAAATTTTAATAAGAGGAAGACTGATGTTCTTCACTCACTCTCGTATTAATTTAAATTTTTTTTTCAAGTCTCCTAATCTCGTATGTTTTTCATGAGAAACACATTAAGAGAGGGGTTTCTTTGAATATAGAAAACGTGAAGTTGAATTTGGAAAAATTTATTATGACCAACAAAAAAAAAGTTTTCAAAAAAAAAATACAGAATTTTACAATGGGTTTCACAATAGTTACTACTATTTTATGCTTTCAAAATTTTCATTAATTATTGAAAGGAAACGGTGGAGAATTTATGGAAAAATGTAAATTGCACAATTTCTAAAATAGAATTCCAACAGTACTTACAAAAGTTATATCCTTGTTTAACTAATTTAATCCTTGTGAACTATTAAATTGGGTGCGTTCACTGGCAGGTTGACTCCCTTAGTGTTTTCAATTTATTTGTGGTACACTTTTATTAGAAATATCGAAAATATTGAAGAATTAAAAAAATACTGAATATCCCAAAACACTGGGTAAATATTCAGTTGTTAGTAATTAATCTATAGTTCACGCGAGAGTTGGGAACACGAGAGTGATTGGAGCTGCCATTACTATGTTTTAAACTCCACGATCGCCGATAGGAAACGAGATTTAATTGTATAAATCTTTAAAGATGTTAACTCAAAGATGTTGCATTTGTACAACTCCATGAATTCAAAAATTGGAAAAGTGAGAGTGGGGAGTCGGGCGATGGCACGATTAGTGTCATCGGCCGATCAAAAATTTGTCAACTCAGGGACTCGCACTGGCGAACGAACTCAAAGTGCTCTTGAAAATGAATTTAAGAGGCAAGAATATTTCCATTTATTGAGTTGGAAATATTCTTGTTGACGATTATGGAGATTTAAATAATAAATAATCGTCTAGAAATGGAAATGAAAATTAAAACTTTGGGCGGATATCACAGGGTCATTACAAAAGTTAAAAATGTGACCAATATTAAAAATTTTCACACACACATCCGCACATACAGAACGGTCTCCAAAAAGGGTCGGGAGAGTTTATAGGGGTCATGAAAGGTGGAGAAACCATGAAATTTCCACATTCGCTTTTCGGGGTCATTACAATAACTTCCTCCCTTCGGGTCGGGAAGTTGAAAAAAAAATTAAAAATAAAAAAAAAATCCGCTTTTTCTGAGTGGGCTATTTTGCCCCCATGGTCCATTTTGCCCCCCGGTCCATTTCCCCCCCTGGCCATTTTGCCTCCACCTCCTCTATCTCTCACATGGGTTATTGAAAAATTCAGAAGAAAAATCAAGAGATAATCTTTTGAGCCCCTCAAACCCGTAAAAATTCCCCGTTTACTCTCCAGGGGGAGAGGGTCAGGGGTGGACCGATTTGGCATGGAATACCCCATTTTTATACGATTCTCTCGTCAAGGTCACATCACCAAAAGATGTTATAGAAGCATTAAAACTGGCCAAAGAAAAATTTGGTAAGCTCAACGTCCTCATAAACTGCGCTGGAATCATCAAGGCGAAATCCCCCTGTGATTTCGAAACTGGTCAAACTCACCCGATAGACAATTGGAACAAATCTTTCACAGTGAACGCCTTTGGGACATTCAACGTCGTGAGAGTTGCAATACCAGTGATGAAGTAAAATGAACCAGATGAGGATAAACATAGAGGTGTTGTCATAAATGTTGGCAGCATTATTGGTTACGGTGTTGCTGATTGTTTCCTAGCATATGGCGCTTCCAAGGCTGCTGTAATGTTCATGACTGAACCACTCGTTCGATTTTTGGCTCCTCTGGGAATCCGAGTGGTTGCGCTCGCACCTGGCATGTGTGATACTCCGCTTGTAGCGAGTGAGTTGTCGGTTTGTTGGCAAAAATGCATTCTTTCATTAGTGATCATCACCCAATCAGTCATGAGTCATTCTACTTAAGATCGGTTTCGATCAATACACGTATAAAAATTTAATGGTCAAATTGAGGACTTTCGTCAGGAAATTCTATCGATTTTTTACGAAAATTGTGTGAAAATTCCACCGCCTTTTTGCGCGATTTTCCAATAGATATTTGGTAGAAAAAAAGTCAGCAGATTGGTATTAGTTTGAATAGTGTATTCTCCTGGGAGTCTTCACATCTCCTCATTAATTGTGATTCCAAACAAGTGGGAAATTGCTCTTGTGTAATACAAGTTGTACTGCATATAGTATAGTTATTTTTGCTAATAAATTAGCAATATGCTTCCGAATGGTTAATTCATTGTTTATTCCATCTTATTAAATTGAATCAAATTTCTTTTTAACTAATTTTTTTCAGATTTTCAACTCAGTTAAATGTCATAGTCATCATTATTCTTATTATCCCTTTCTTCCATACAACCGATTGTCTTTTTTACAATTCTATCTCTCCCGTCAGCCCTTCAATAAAATGTTCATAGAAAAATTTTATTTATACATACTTGAATGAATTTGAAATATCACATGTGAAGAAACCATAAGAAAGCACACTTTCAGGGAAATTCATGAAAATTTCGAAATTTTCAACAATCATCATAAAAATAAAATCAATCAATGTAGCTATGGTTGTCATCTTTTAACTGCGACTTAATGTCATTAAAGCAAACATTTTAAGCTTTGATTGAATTCATTTGAAGCATGATATTCAAAGATATCCTCAAAATTCTGACTTTCAAAAAATACGAAATTTTCATTTCTTAATTATCGTGGGATAACTGATTTTCGGAAAAAATCGAAAATTTAAAAAACTAATCAATTAATTGAATTTTAATTAATGGCGATCGATAGGGTTCAACAATAAAAAAGATTCAATTCCATCCATTCATTAGCAAACAATTGAAGAAAAACTTTGTTACATACGTACGCGCATACACACATACGTACGCACAAGGTCTACAAATTGCATTTTCGGGCTTTTTGGATCATACTCAGACGATATAACACAAAAAATCCAAAACTTAAATTTGAACGATTACAAAACTTCCATTGGGAAGCAAAATCAGTTTTCTGATTAGAACGAAAATCACTAAATACGTTCTGAGTCAGGTAATGCGAAACATTGACTTTTAAGTGAATTGAATGGCTATGTTTGATTTCTTCGCTGCCCAATTGAATATGAGATTAATCTCACATCCAGTAATATCCCCTTGTTATTAAAAATATTACGTATTGAGGTTTCCTATCTCCTGAAATACAAAAGGCCATTATTAGAGAAATGATGCATCCAGAGCGGCTGGGCAGACCGGAAGAAATAGTACATTTAATCAAGTACGTAATCGAAAATCACTTAATCAATGCTTAAATAATCCGTGTCGACGAGGAATATCGCCCTTGTAACAAAAAGTGCAGTGCAATCTCCTAATTTTTCAACTTCCCGACCCGTAAGGAGGAAATTATTTTTCTACTATTCAGCAGTGAAGTTTCGGCACGAAATGAATCATTCAATCAGGAACAGAATGAATCATTCATCGTCAATTTCAAGACGATTTTTTGCCGAATGTTATTTAATCTACCTCAAATCGATGTATTTGGATAAGAACGGTTTTGCAATGAAACAAGTTTTTTATATAAATTCGACCGTGAACTTGGATTTTTTTATCTCTCAAAAACTGATCCCTCATCATTAACGATTTGAAAGCAACCAACGGTTGTTGGTGAAGAATTTAATCCTTACCAACTTTTCACGTGACCCAGGACTCACGACGAGGACGTGGTTGGTGGAGGGTCCCAAAAAGTATATTTGAAAAATGTATTGATTACGTATATTAAAATTTAATCGATGTCCCTTTGGTATTGGTACACCATTGCGCACCAAACGATTTGCAATCACCCTCTGCTTTCAGACTTCACTATTGTTTATATGTACCTACCAACTTACATTCACCGCGATTGATAGCGAGAAAAGTAATTTTTTGTTTCGTTTTGAATTACTCATTGTGAACAATTATTATTGATCTCGGCGGTCAGGTCGTATGCGTTTGGCTTGATCAGGACCTGACCGAAATTTCCACTCGGGTACCCTGCAGTAGGACGCTACTACATAACCGCATAAACTTTGGTATTGGGATGAATATTTCCAAATCAATCATGCCTAGTATACAATAAATTATACGTTTCACTTTGACGATTGTATTAATTATATAAATTGTGACGATTGTATTGTTGTTCGCTTAGCTATACGTAAAACCTTAAAAGATTGCATAAAATCTGCATAGTATTTTCTGTGTGCATTATTCATCTAACAATTGGTATACTAATGGATTACTTTTACAACCCATAAAATTGTATTATCAATAGTAAAATTTTGTTATTAGTAATAGGAGGGAATTCATTGTTTACTTCCATATCAAAAGTCCATGGGAAAAATTATTTTTCGTCATCAGGCCCGATGAAACGCGATTTTAACCTCGCCCAATTACAAAAAATATTGTTCGATACACGGCCGTGAAGAACTTTCCTACCTCATATGATGACAGGACGAGCCGATGGCCAGTTCTAGGCCGTGAGGAACTTTTCTGGCCCCTATTCGTCAGAAAAGTTCCTCGCAGCGTAGTGTCGAAATATACTATTTAAATACCTTGTTAATGTGTACTGAAGATAACATGAATTTTCAGTTTTACAGTTTTAGCACAAATTACCCGTACGTTCTGTAAATTTTCTCGGGTCAACGGGGAAAAATTCACTATTCACCCTGACAACGGGTGAAAAAGTACTGAAAATCGAGTTCGCTCCATGATTACGTGACTTGTTCGATAATTGTTCTCTAACGTTTGAGCAAATCATTTATTGTAATATGAAACTTTAACAGCCTATAAATTGAGACATATGATTTTCATCAGCCGTATTGTTTTTTTGCAATGAGGATGATTACAAACAATTAATTGAAAAAAGGAATATTGACTCTGACAGAAAAAACGGCATAATGAAAGGGCATCAACATTAGTAAAACTAGTCATTAGTAAAAATATTTGGGATGGATACTAATTATATTTTCAAAAGTATAAACAATTTTATTCAGTGTACGATATTTATAGAGTCACAATTCCCTCATTCGAATTGACTTTACATTTCTTCTTCTTCTTCATCTTCGTTTTCCGCAAATGTTCAACTATTTCCTCATCAATTCTAAGTTTCCGTTGAAGCAATGAAATTAAGCTCCAACTCTGGCAATTCTTCCTCTTATTTCCTCTTCCTTTGCTTTTTCTTTTTGGATGCTCGAGTTTCATCCCTTGTTTCGGAATTATTCGTATTGTCTTCTACATGGACTTCATGTAAAGAATTCGTATCGCCTAGAGTGGATTCACCCTCTACTGATGCTTTTCTTTTCTTCCCTGTTTTTTCTTCTTTTTCTTTGATTTCTTCACAGCCTCTTGACCCTCATCCCTTCCCGAATAATTATTCCAAATAATTTCGATGGATTTCTCATCCGTCTGATTTTCATTCATTCTATCAACCTGAGATTCCTCGTGTTTTCTCTTCTTTTTCTTCTTCTTTTTCGCCGTTTCAAATTCTCCAATTTCCTCCACTGTTTCCACATTATTATTCAAGTTATTTTCTGCATCCCGGATATTCATTCCGTCTCGTACTATATCTTTCTTATGTTTCCTCTTACGTTTCTTTCCAGATATGTCCTCACTCAATGGTTTTTCCTTATCAATCTCATCATCTGTGAATTTCCGTCGACTTCGATGGTTTTCAATCTTCTCATCTTCAGAAATTTTCACCTTTTTTAAACCGCCATCAATGTTGTTTGCCCTCACATGATCATCCTCATCCACATCTTCATCTCTCTTGCTCTTCCTCTTCTTCTTGCATTTCTTGTCTCTCCAAGTGTTATCGGTTTCGTCTTCAAACACAGTTTCTTCCCCATTATTACTTGTCGACCTTCTATTCACTTTGTTTTTCTTGTGATGTTCAGGGAGAGGAACTTCGGGATGTCTCTCGAATACTGCAATGAAGAACCCATTGCTTTGGTCAACGTCAGGTCGAGCGTACAAGCAATTTTCCCCGCATTGGTAGTCTTTAGAGCTAAAGTTTATCCATTGATCTTTTAACAACTCTTTGATAGAAACTAGTTTATAGGCCTGCCCGATGTCTCCCAGGACCTCATCTACAACCATTTCGTTCTCTTCGGGGTACATCGAACAGGTACTGTAGATGACTCTCTTGACTTTTGGAAAGTTGAGTAGTGCGTGACGGAGGAGGAGGACTTGGAATGATTGGAGACGCTTCAGTCGACCTGGGGCACATCTCCCTTGATTGTCTTCGAAGTCAGGGCGATCCATACCTGTGATGAATGAAAATCAAAGTCAGAATAAGGATGGCGACATGAAGAACAACGTAGACGGCAGCACTGAGGCTGCCACTTCTGACTATTTTTGTTGGATAAAAGGTTTTCATTTGTGAAATATATGATAATTTAACGGATAGGGATTATTTGATTCGGAAAAATATTCCAATGATGGTTCGCCAAAAATGACTTCGTCGAAAAGTACTTTTCGTCAAAAAATTACTTGGCCTAACATACATTTCGTCCACTGTATTAGACGTTCAATTCGACCTATATCAAAAACTAAAGGAGCAGTGACCCGAAAACGGCCTAAGCACATCATAAATATAAAGATAGCAATAAGCACAAACCCGGGGAACACAAATACAATTACTAATTGATTACGACACCAGACCAGAATAACGTATATGCAAACATTTTTTTTAAAACAATTGGACGAAAATTTGATTAAACAAGAAAAAACAACCGAAAAAATGATTCAAGGAAAAAAGATGAAGCTGAAATAGCGGCAGGAGGCAGCGGCAAGGACGAAACGGCGCTCGGGGCCCCAGTCACAAATTCCCATTTTTTTTGCTTTTTCTATGATTGATTGAAAGATATTTTCAATAATACTGGATGACGTTCAGGGGAGGATTAAGAATTGAGTCAAAGTGGGAAAGTGCATGACGCCTGGGCATAATGACGCGACTTCATGATAGTACCGGCAATTTTAAAAAATACTTCCGGTCCTAGAAAAATTCTGAATTAATTCAGACAACTTACTCGAACTTCAAATGAAGTATTAAGAATGAATAAGGGAGGAATCAACTACAACGTCGTGGTCAAGGGGAGAAATTACATGATTGCGGCGCGAGTCCACCATAGTTCTGGCGATAGAACAAATACTTCCGGTCACAGGAAAATTCTGAATTAATTTAGATGACTTACTTCAACTCCAAATGAAGTATAAAGAATGTATAAGGGAGGAATCAACTTCAACTTCGAGGTCAAGGGGAGGGGGAGATTGTATGACGCCTGGGCATTGTCATGTGACATCATCACAATACCGGCGATGGGAAAAATACTTTCGGTCATATCAAAATTCTGAATTAATTCAGACAACTTACTTGAACTCCGAATGGAGTATGAAGAATAAATAAGGGAGGAATCAAGTCCAACTTCGTGGTCAAGGGGAGAAATTATATGATTGCGGCGCGAATCCATCATAGTCCTGGCGATAGAAAAACTACTTCCGGTCATGGGAAAATTCTAAATTAACTCAGGCAACTTACTTGAACTCCAAATGGGGTGTGAAGAATGCATAAGGGAGGAATCAACTTCAACTTCAAGGTCAAGGGGGGAAAATGTCTGACGCCTGGGCATAATGACGCGACTTCATCACAGTAGAGGACTCCTGCAATTTCGAGCTGGCGAGTTTCGACAGGTGGAGTCACTGCGTCCCCACTCTCGCGCTTTCAGTCCCCACTCCTTCCGTTTACGTCATGGTTCCATCATCTCCCGGGCGCATAGCCCTATGCTCCCGAGTGTTTCCCTAACCTCATTTATTGAGAAAAATGTACTTTGGGGTTATGTACTCACTATTGCCCGACGGCCGAAGACAAAGAGTAACATAATGTGTTCTCGCTCTGATCTCCCCACTAAGCGTGCTTGGCCAATGAGAACTCGGCCGACTATTTTCAACTTCTCGGAATTCGTTCCCCTGTCGGGTCGAAATTATAGGCCTTTTCATTTTGAGGCGGATGGATGCAGCGCCACAATTCTCGAATTAAATGGCACCGGCGTATTCAAAAGTTTCGGGCAGTTTCGGGCCACTGTAGTGTAAAATAGCATCCGCGCAGCCTTTCCTCGCAATAAAATTAACAGAAATAGATGTTCCAGGAGTGAGGTTTGACAGAGAATCAATTCAAGAGCACAATGTAGTGCAACTGAAGTAATGGCTGTCATGTAGGAAGCAAATTGTCAAAGGAGAGAGGGAAGATTTGATTTAGAAGTTAGTAGTTGTGTGCCATCACGCCAAGCACATAACATTCTCGATGATAGAGGTCTTATAAATTTTTTTTACAGACTCAAATGGTGCATTGATAATAATATAGATATAGATCCTCAGATTGGTCACGGGAAATAATTAGAGTTAAAAGCCAAAGCAGGGCGGTTGACACTTGTCTGTCTCACTGCTAAATTCCGTGAGTACCCCACCTCATGGAATGCATCCCCATCAGCTGACATACTTCAAATCTTTAACCGTGGGTGCATCCACGATTATCTCTTCAATTATAATATGGTTGATATGAAATTGCAGAAAATCCCACAATTTCAGCGACATCAAAACCCTTTACCCGTGGAGAAGTTTAATTCAATAGTGGTCATGTTCAACGTCTGCAGGATGCATTCACAACAGACAATACCTTTTATTTCGTTAAATATGAAAACAAAGCGTCATATCGTGATCAGTATTACAATGTAAAAATGATAACGTATCAGGGTATTCCTCAGTTGGACCATCTCCATTGAAGAAAAGATGCGAACGAATATAGATCTCCTTTATGATAGCGCTTTTCTTGGCGTGTTTTTTTCTTTAACTTATCTGGGTGCATTTCTTTCAAATCGAATTTCCTTGTGTTGAATTTTGACTTGTTTCTTGGGAATTGGAATTTCTTCGAAACAATTGAAGCCCAATTGATAGGGGGGGGGCGATGAGGGGTTAGGGATTCTTTCAGTCCTCAAGGAACATGTCTGAATTTGAAACAAAAAAAGTAGCATTAAAGAAACCCACCCAGATAAGGTAAAAAGTAAACACGTCGAGGAAAGCGCTATAGAATTCCTTATGGAGTCAGATTTAGCACATTTTGGACATTTAGCGACATGTTTTTTTAACGTTTCTTTCACATTCCCTTTACGAAATGTTAAACACGGCTTCGGGAATGGAATGGAAAAAAATCATGATGCTCTAAAAAGTTTGGTGCGTGTGTCACTTTTGCACAAACCATACCAACATTTTTTTCAGCCCCCTTATGCATTACTGGTTTCTTCTCTGCCATTTTAACAATTTCGGGTAGAGACAAAATATATTTCACCAATTTTGGATTCAAAAACATCAATGTTAATTGCTGCTTCCTGCCGCTAGTTTCAGCTTCATGAAAAAAGATAGACTAAAAGCATCATTGAACGAACTGACGATAAACGAAAAGTAATTGGACGAAAGAACTTTGGAACAAAAGTACCGAACCCTAATTGTACAATCGTTTGATTGTAAATAACACCATCACCACAAAATTCATTCATAATTCGAAACAAGATAGCTCTAGTTGAACGTTACATGTCAGTTTTCGTGGTCTCGCTCGAAGTGGCGCTCCTAGCGGCATAAAGTGTTAAGCGCCATCCTCATTGTTAATTTGCTTCCGAGGGAGGAAGATCCTGATGATCCTCATGATATGGGGTCATCCAAATATTAGGTCGCGCGTTTTTTAGACATTTTAGGGGATGGGTGCAACTGGACACAGTCAACTGAACACATCCGCAACTGATATTCTATTTTATTACGAGACTTGGACAATACTTTGTTTTGATACACCTTAGCGAATGACCACCTCACTCTTGTTCGATTGATTGACGATGTTCTTACGATACTTGACATATTAATATTCTGATTATTGATGCTCCTGCAATAGTTCTTCGTCATCTCCCAAAGTTAGCTCACACTATATAGAAGTAATTCTCATTCCTCCGTTTTAAATCTATCAGCGCCATCTCCCATGTATATCATCAACTGACTTCGTCGATAGGGAAGACTAAGTTGACAATATCACTACGTTTCACCCTCTTGTATTTACGTGTGTGTTCAGTTGCCGAAGTTACCAGATCTGTGG